AAATTGGGATTGCTTATGGAGATATAGCAGTATTTGTTTTGAGTGGAGTTAAAGATAAATATTTGTAAAGTTTAACATTAGCTTCTTCACTTGAATTACAACTTCAATTATGTGTAGCTTTGGGTAAATAGAACATTATTTGTGCTATTAATGATATGGATTTAGTCGAATATCAATAGGCTAGCTATTAATTTGTAGTGAATGATTTCTCTTAACTCTTAGTCAAATATGAAATAAATCCATATTAAATTTAATTTATTCCAATATCTTTAAAAGAAGCTGAAAACATCAACAAAAAAAAATAAAATATGAATTGGTATTAAGGTCCAACTTTAATTGAAGCTTTAGATAAAATTCCAGTTTATGATCAAGAACTCTTAGCAAGCAAGCCTCTTAGGTTTGTTATGCATGATTGTATTATATATTTAAAAATTGATTTCTTAATAATTAATATTAATTGCTTGGTCCTTTTTAAAATTAATTTTTACATATTAGAAAAAAAATAAAATTAAATAAATTAGATCTGTTGCCCTTGGAAAATTATTATATGGCACATTAAAAAAAAATTAAATTGTAAGCTTTGCTCCAATTCCATTTAAATCAAGAGTTAAATCTATTGAAATTTATCATTGTTTTTAAGAAGAAGGAACTATTGGTTAATTAATAGGAGTTCACTTATCAGAACTTTCATACAAAGAGATTTCAAATGGACATATTTGTTCAGATGTCGATAATGATCCAGCTTAAGAATGTGCATCATTTGTGGCAAAGATAAAGATCATGGAAGACTTTAAACATTAGCTCAAACAAAAATAGTATTATACAATACATTTCTTCACTAAAAGAATGCAATGTAGCATTTTGAAGATTTAATAAAACTTAAATATAAAAAATTAAAATGAAATTATTGAGAATCCTTAAATTTTAAGAGCTGGTGATATTGGAATAATTGAATTTAAACCAATAAAGTAGATAACATTAGAAAATTATATTGATTATCCTTAACTAGGTAGAATAGCAATTATAGAAAACCGTCGTATGATAGCTTTTGGAATAATTTTAGAAGTAAAAAATAAAGAAATAGAACTAAAGATTAAATAAAAAGAACCCAATTAATGATTTTTAATAGTATTTATAAAAATTATAAGATATCTGAAAATATTTTCTATATTAAATGAAAAAATGGCAATTAATAAATAATAGTAATTTAAAGAGAATGAAAAAGTTGATTCCTTTATATTAAGAAAATATTATTATTTTAATAATTTGTTAATCACATTTTAAATTCCATTAAATTAGCTAATGGATATGGATTTGTATAGACTCTATTTTGTTATTTTAATTTTTTTTGTTTGTTTTAGATTTATATTTTTAATTACATAAATATAGCAAATACTTACAAAAGAAGATTTACAATTAACACAGATAACAATAATATTATATGTATCCATCCAAGTAAAACCTAATTGTCATAATTAAATGCTTTTGACATATAAGTCCAATACATAGCAGATGTTAAGGTAAATATAAAAGCACTTCCTTCCATCATAATTAAATTACAAAAGTCTTATTGATTTTTGACTGGTTTAAATTTAATTGCATAAATAAGATATAAATTACAGACAAATGTTAATAAGATTGTTTATATTTATTCATTTTTTTAGAAACATACT